CCCCCCCCGCCCCCCCCCCCCCCCCCCCGCCACTTGGCACGCAAAGCCTGGGCAGACGCCCCGCCTGCGCGTCGCCCACCCGCCCCAGGGTCCAAATCTCCCGGTCCTTTCGCATTTGCTCCTCTTCCGTCCTGCTGCAGAGCCGCGGCTCGCAGGTTGGAGTTTGCCCTCGTGTGCGCCGCGTCACCAGGCGGGGAGGGGAGAGGAGGCGGCTGAAGCAGGGTCGGAGGGGGAGCTGCGCGGTCCTCGGCGCCGGGAGCCGCCGGGCGGAGTGACCGCCCCCGGAGCCGCCGACTCGGCCGCAGCCCGAGCCGCCCCTCCCTCCTTCCGTCCGGCCGGGCGCCTTCACTCCCGTCCTCCCCTGCCCGATCCTCATCCTCTCCTTGTGTGTGCGCGCTTTAAATAATTTCCTTCTTTTTGGCAAAAGAAATAATGCACCTGACTTTACCAAGGGAAACAACCAGCCGAGCAGAACGAGGAACAGATGTAAAAGGAATGAAAGGAAAAAGAGATGAGACTGGCTTAAAGAAATCCAGGGGCTGACGAGGTGGCTGCAGCGGCAGAGGCAGCTAGAGCTTCGCTGTCTGCGTGAGCTGCAGGCAGAGGACGTTTTCACCAGTTGCAGATGCAACCTCGGGAACTCCTGGGTCTGTGGGTTTGTTTGCCAAACAAGTCTTTTCTTCTTTGGCGCAGACACTGAAGAGGCTCCTGAATGTTTCTGCGATCCTGCCACAAGCTGGCAGTTACCCCGGAGCCTTCCCAAGGAGCTGGAGAAGAAATGAGCCCTTCTGGGCGGAGGATGGGCGAAGGGCGTCAGCAGCGGGGGGCTCCAGCCAGGAAGCGTTTCCTGCTCTCGGGGAGGAGAGGGTCACCCCGCTGGAGGCCGGGCGGCGGCGGCATCGGAGCGCAGCGCTCCCTGCTCGGGCTCTTCGTGCACGCGTGGCTGTGGGCGGCCTCGGGCTCGTCTGCCCAGTTGTTCAACCTCAGCCTTTACGTGGACGAGGGGCTCCCCCCGGACACGCTGGTCGGTGACATCCGCGCCGGGCTGCCGGCGGCACAGCAGCAGGAGGGCGGAGGCTTCTTTCTGTCCGAAGACTCCGAGGACTCCCCACTGCTGGACGACTTCCACGTGCACCCGGACACTGGCATCATCCGCACGGCGCGGCGCCTGGACCGCGAGCGACGGGACCACTACAGCTTCGTGGCGGCCACGCTGCTGGGCGCTGTGGTGCAGGTGGAGATCTGCGTCAACGACGTGAATGACCACTCGCCCCGCTTTCCGCGCGACTTCTTGCAGCTCGACGTCTCCGAGCTCAGTCCGCCAGGTACCGCTTTCCGCCTGCCAGGTGCCCACGACCCTGACGCCGGGCTGTTCAGCACACAGGGCTACACCCTGGTGCAACTGTCCGACCTGCCCGAGGACCCTGCAGGACCGTTCTTCCAGTTGCGCTACGGAACTCCTGGGCCACCACCGTTGTCACCCCTGCCGGGCTCCTCGTCGCCCCTGGAACCCCTAGACCTGGTGCTGTTGCGGCGCTTGGACCGAGAGGCGGCGGCGGCGCATGAGCTGCAGATCGAGGCGTGGGACGGCGGCAGCCCGCGGCGCACCGGCCACCTGCGCGTGGAGCTGCGCGTTCTGGATGAGAATGACAACCCGCCGGTTTTCGAGCAGGGCGAGTACCGCGCCGCGGTGCGCGAGGACGCCCTGCCGGGCGCCGAGGTCTGTCGGGTGCGCGCCACTGACCGCGACCTGGGACCCAATGGCCACGTGCGCTACAGCGTCCGCGCCCGGCAAGTGCCCGGGGCGGGTAGCGGCGGCGGGCCACTGGGCGACGCGGCCTACTTCGCCGTGGACGAGCTGAGCGGCGTGGTGCGCGTGCGAAGACCTCTGGACCGCGAGGCGCAGGCCTGGCACCAGCTGGTGGTCGAGGCCAGCGACGGAGGCGCCGAGCCTGAGGTCGCCACGGTGCGCGTGTCTATCGCCGTGCTGGACGTGAATGACAACCCGCCCGCCCTTCACCTGCTCTTTCTCACTGAGGGAGGCGCCGCCTGTGTCTCTGAGGGCGCCCGATGGGGCGACTACGTAGCTCGCGTCTCGGTGTCAGACGCGGACGGTGACCCGGAGAAAGAAGAGGACGCCGCCGGGCAGCTTGGCGTGGTTCTCGGCGGCGGGAGCATCTCTCTGTCCTTGGAGGGTGGAGAGGGAGCCTTCGCGCTGCGGCCTGGCGGCCCCCCAGGGGTATTTTTCCTTTGCGTCGAGGGGCCCCTGGATAGGGAGAGCCGCGATATGTATGCGTTGCGACTGGTGGCCACGGATGCGGGATCCCCGCCTCTGAGCACGGAGGAGACGCTTCTGCTCCGGGTCTCCGACCTCAACGACCAGGCGCCTCTGTTTAGCCAGGAGCATTATCGGGCCTCAGTGTCCGAGGCCGCAGCCCCTGGCACGGCAGTGTTGTGGGTCAGCGCCTCCGATGCGGATGAGGCTGGCACCAATCATGCCCGGCTGCGCTACGCTCTAGTCCAACTCTCGACTCACTGCACCCCAGAGGCTCTGCCGCCCACTGCAGAGTGTGGACCGTCTTTCACCATCGATCCCGAAAACGGTGTGATCAGCACTATCCGAACTCTAGACCGAGAGGACCAGGAGGCGGTGGAGCTAAGAGTGGTGGCCCAGGACCTCGGAGATCCCCCGCTCTCTGCCACCTGCTTGGTGAGCATCACCGTGGATGACGTGAATGACAACGAACCCATCTTCTGGAGGCAGGTGTACAATGCCACCCTTGTAGAGCATGCCCCAGTTGGACACTGCTTTCTGCAGGTGAGTGCATTAGGCCTGTGGGTCAACCGGAAGGCTTTCAAGGGATGGAGAGGTTGTGAGTCTGCCTAGGAAATTGTGATGTGGACGGTTACAGCCTGGTTCCGAAAGCAGGGATATGAGCCGTAGTTCCCCTTCTACGGTGAGGTGAATGCATACTCACCTAACCTTTCTGCTTGATCTCTAAGGTACTTTCTACTTCATATGACATTAGGATCTTGATTTTTCTTATAAAGGCATGGTTTCCTTCTTGCTGAATGTGTGTGCCAATATCGGTTTGGGAGGAACAACCCATGCTAAACCAGATAGTGTGCAATTGACAATGTCTCGTGTTTTTGAGCAGCTTTATGTGACATTCTAGGGAATAAGGTAGCTCTCATAAATTAGTTTTTCAAATGCCCAAATGTATGTCCTTAAACACTGAAACTGTTTTTATCAACCATTTACAGAGACTCCTTACACATTTTCCTACCCTCTTTAGAACCTTACGAAGGTTGGTTGAAGACCTCAAGTCTTCTTTATTAGCATGAGTTGTGGGCTAAGCTCCTCCAGTGATGCATTCAGGACTCTGAGGAGCAGTGGGTCTCAGTCATCCTTTTTAACGGTGGGGCACTGTGAGCTGCCTTTCGTTGGGCATGTTCCTTTTAGAGTTCTGATCGCTCCTTCACTTTCGTAAGGTTGTGTTTTGTCCCCTTTTGGCATGGCTTCTTATTGCTTCCTGTTTCCTATTTCTTATCTGATGTGAGATTACTAGATTTCTCAGAGTGATTTATTCACTCCAAGATAACTTGAGTAAATAAATAGAGCCTGAAGAGCTAACCATGGGTGAAGCTCCAGAGCTTTCTTTAGCTCCCAGGCTGGGTTGTTTTAAGGGCTGCACTGCTTACTTCCTGGTTTTGTTAGGGGGTTGAGGCTTTAGCCTTATCAGTTATGTCTCAGATAATAACCTTTAGGTAAATGAAGTGTCACCACATTGTAAAAATGGGTTTCATGACTGCTTCTATCTTTTTAATCCTTTGGGTATGTGAGTAATAATTACTTCCATCCCTTTCTCTAGCATGATTGGCAATTATGAATTGCTAGGTTATTAAAAGGTGGCTTAAAAATTCATTAATGCTTCCTGCTGAAACAGACAAATCCACAAATATCAGTGACTAACTCTATCAAAGTGTATTTCTCTTTCAAGCAATGTCTGATATGATGCAGGTTGGCTGGTTCGCCTCCCTCCAACAGAGAGCAAGGCCTGAGAGTCACTTGCATCGCTTCCACTGACGTCACATGGGCCAGAGCTCAGCCGTGTGGCCTCAGGTGTACTGCAAACGGGGCTGAGAAGGGTACAGGAACCCATGGATGCCAGTGTCCCCTGATAGTTTCTGCCACAGATTTCTAAAAATGAAATCATAATAGGTAAAAGGTTGGACTAGATGATTTCCAAGATTTCTTCCATCTGGAAGATTCGAAGGATCTTAGTATGAAATAGTACTTATTTTGAAGGAAAATAAGCAGGGTGGATTGATTGTGATTCTTTTGATTAGAACCTCTCTTAGGAGTTGTTTCTAATATTGTGAGACGATTCTGCCATGAGGTGTGAGTTTATCCCGTTATTATAACATGGTATGTGGCAGATCCATTATGGTGAACTGAACTTGTCTCAATTCTAGGACTGCACCTCCAACAATTGCAAAAATCCTGTCCAGGTTGGCAGTATTGCTGCATTAAATCATGCTGATTAGAATTTCTGGGAATTCCAGAGATCTAGCCCCTCAAAGTTAGCAGAATCTCTCACTCACTGGCAGCTGAATGAACTTTCTGTGTTCCATAAGCCCTCTAGCCGACTCTGTCTCCTGACTCCCAGGTAAGCTCCAGAGAAGCATCTTCTTTCCCTTTACTCTCTCAATCTTTCTTTGTACACTTTGCAAAAACTAACATCCGCGTCTGCCTGTGGATCTCATGGCCTCCCCTTTCTTCCACGGCTTTGTTGAATTATGTGACATAAATTCTTTATGATACCGACTTGCTGGTGCCCTCTACTCATTATCCTCGTTTAGACCTCAGATCTGCTCAAGTCTCCTTTGTCAAAATCAAACAAAAACCAAATGAGGAACAACAGGAAAAAAATAATATTCTAGATTCTCTGTAAGAGAACAACATGTCATCAGATTTTTAAAGAGCCCTCAAATCTTCAAGGTGTCTTGGTGGTAACCCCACATCCGTAATCCTTGGGGTTCTTTCTCTCTTACTGCTGCTTCTGCTGCCACCACAGTGCTGGCCACCCTTCCCTGCCCCAGTACTGGCTGAATTGTTTTGTGTTCTTATGCACAGAATAGAACTTTCTAAAGACTTTAAATGTGGGGCAGAACAAAGAGAATTATCACAGAGTTCAAGAACCATTAGCAGCCTGAGGTAGATAAACCTCTAGCTCAAAAGGTTTCTGTGGTTTCATAGGCACTTGCCTGGATTTCTTAATAACTCACTGCCCACCTGTCCCCACATGGACAGAGTCTCTCAACACTTTTGTGGTCAAGACAGAGAAGGATTTCCACTCTGCAGACACACAGGGGTCTGCCTCCAGCTCTAGTGTCTAGCCTGAAAGATTTCATTTTTCCTCAGATTACTGTCAAAATGATTAACTTCAACCTCTAGACAAGACCTCCAGCCTCCACCCCACACTAAGTCACAGGAGCTGCCCTTACGGCCTTTATCTTATCACCAGATCTTAAAACTGCAGAACTCCAGCATTCATACCTTTATTATGTACATGTGATAACAAGATTATTCTTCCATACTCCTGAATATGAGTATTTGAGGGAACTAGTACGGTCTTCATTCATATGTTCATTTATTTAATCAAACTGCAACATTCTTTGAATAAACAGCATTCAATGACCACATATTTACTGAGAAGCCATTGCATGCCAGGAACTGTTCCTGGTGCTGGGGACGCTGCAGTGAGTGAACGGACAAGGTCCCTGTGCTGACAGAGCCTACAGTGTGGCGGTCTCTCTCTCCTTCCCTTCCCTGTCCGTCCTCCTGCAGAAATGACATGTGCCCAGCCTCCACCTGCTCATTACTCCTTATCCCCCATCCTGACCTTCTCCCATCACCATACTAAATGCTGCCTCTCAAAAGGCGTCCGTCTGTGTTCTTCACTCCACTCTTGAACGCACCGCCTCCACTGCCCTTTATCTCACTACATCCTCCTTCTGTCTCTCTCTTGCCAGTTCCTCCTTTTCCTCTCGTGCCACCCCTCACCAGTGTGGTTAGGCATTTCCAAAAGTTCTGTCTTCCTCTCACTTCTTCCTCTTTTCTATCCTCTCTTCATTTTCTCTATCTGGCATGTGTCTTTACCTGGATGTATTTTTGTCACCTGAAATCTTACATTCCCCAAATTGAGCTCATTTTCCTCCTATTTATCTACCTTCCTTCCTTCCTTCCTTCCTTCCTTCCTTCCTTCCTTCCTTCCTTCCTTCCTTCCTTCCTAAATCAGCTCCTTTTTGGAACTTTCCTATTTTTGTTAATGTGTCTTTTCTATAGCTGTGTTTATACATTTAGTCTGTGTCTAGTTCTTGGTTCTAGAACTAAAGATGAATGACATTACATGGTAAAGTGTTCATAGCTTTGAAGATTAAAATTAGACTCTATGCAGTGACGACAAATATGAGCTATGGGGACAGAGTGAGTGCCTGGGTTTGGATCTCAGCTATACCACTCACTCGCTGTGTGATCTTGGCCACTCTGCCTCAGTTCTCTCATCTGCAAAATACGGATAATAATAGTGTTAATTTGATAAAGTTGTGTGGATAATGAATTAATATATGTATTCTTAGAACAATGCTTGACTTATAGTAAGTGCTCAGTGTGTGTTATATTTTATCAAATATTAGTAAGTCAGGATTCTGGAAATGATGAAGAAACTGTCTTGCCTGATACAGTAAAGGCTGAGGACTAATTAAAAATGACATTTCAAATAAATATTCCCTTCCACTGAAAGACGGAAGAAGGAACAGAAATAAGTTTAAATTGTATATTAGGTTTTTAGTTAGATAGATATGCTTCTGGGAATGAACACTGACATCTGTTTTGCTGACTTTGGAAGCTTGTAACATCTCCTTATGGACTTTTAGAACTCTGTGTGTCTCAGGGAAGGTACAGATAACCTATCAGTAGTGATTCCTTGGCAAAGCAATAACAACAAAAACAACAAAAGCACCATGAGGTCTCACAGGGACTAGACCATGTGATAGAAGTAGGCCACTACCCACCAAAGTTGGACTAAGTGCTGGCACCTGAACCCCTCTCAGGAATGCAGGCTGACTCTGGTGCATAGAGTGTCTTCGTGTCTTTTGTTCCTTTTATCAGTTCTCACTCGTTGAATCTTTCATTGAGACAACACGGAATAAGAGAGCACTGGATTTGGAGTCAGAAAACCTTGGTTCAAATTCTGATTCCACCATTTAACATCTGTTAACTTTTCTGGCCACAGTTCCTCTTGCATAAAATGTTGCAATTCAGTTTAACAAATATTGTTGTAAGGATTGGAGATAATTGATATTTCATGGTGGAAAATGGTAGGTGTAGGAAGAGTTAAGGGGCTTATGAATTGGGGAAGTTTTCTTTATCAAGTAGACCGGGGATTCTCTGTTATGATATATGAGTTTTTATTTACAATCTGTTATGGATACATTCCACCATAGCTGCTTTTTATTTTTTATTTTTTATTTTCATAAAAATGTGTAGTGCATTTCTAGGCATGAACCCCTCTTAAGGAGAATCACTTAGGATGGATTTCAGAAAGTTGTGCTCAGTAAGATGTTCTTTCTCTGGTGATTGAAATTTGACAACTTAGTTTTATTAACAACTAAACTCTAGGCTTCTACTAATGGGCTCCTTACCTTTTAAATTATAAATTAAAAGTGAGCAATTATGGAAGTAGTTTATACTTTCATACTCATTAGGGAAATTATGCTGGGCCATTTTTACAAATACCAGGAATCTTACTGAATTAAAACTCTCATTTAAAAGGAATATATGCTTTGTGGTGAAATAGATCTGGTGAATGTCATCACAAATATGAATTAATTCAAAATCTATTTAGTCCATGGGGAAAGTATGAATTGGAATAATCATGGAGTGTCTTTCTGGTGGTGAATTAATGGAAGGTAGTTTCAAAGATGTGGGAGGAGACAGGCCAGGAAGGATTTGCAGTGTTTGCCTAAAGAGTTTGGTCTTTATTATTTTAGAAGTAATTGGAATATATGGGAGTTTTGGGAGTAGAAATTGCCATGCGTAAAGTAAGGTTTTAGGAAAAATTTGTCTTGAATTAGTAGAAAGAGCAGAAAGAAGAAAGCAGGGAACCAGGTAGAAGCATCCTGCGACTCCTATACTACGTATTCAGCTGTGACTGTATTCCTACTGTGAAGTGCAGTAGGAAGGGTGGCCTTCGAGGCACTGTAAAGGAGAAATTGGTACAACCTGAATAAGGCGTGAGTGGAGAAGTGATGGAAGAAGAAAAAGATGGGGCATATTTTCAGTCTGGGTTAGTGGGAGGAATCAGAAAAGCTGGAGGCGAGAATTTTGCAGGAAAGCTCACTTAATCGAGTCTTTGGTGCGTTGAGTCTGTATTAATGGCCAGTGGTTTAGGTAAATATATATATTGAAGCCTATTAGACATTCAGAACTACAGTGCAAGGGGAGAGATTAAGGTTGGAGATATAAACTTGGAAGTCCCCCAGGCCGAGGAGGTGATAATTAAAGCTGTGAAAGTGAAAGTGAGGACAGTCAGGGACGAGTCACTGGCTAAGGATGCTGGCTGGGGCTTCCTACTCATGATGTTGGAGGGCAGGTCTCTGTGATGATGACACTGTTTGCTTGTTCTCCCAGGCCCCTGGACCACAACCCAGAAGGTGGGTTTGGAGCTCCTCAGCACTGCTTCTGAGATCGTCAGCATCCCCAGCACACTCCACACTCCTGTGCATTAAGGCACACAGTATCTGGCTCTGCTAGTGTCTCTCTCCCCTTCCTCCTGTTTCCTATGGACCTTCTAGTCAGTCTCCTATTTGTACTGAGGACATTGACAGCCTTATAGCCATTTTTGTCTGCATTATAACTCAGATACCCTTCAGGCCATCTGGTCTCATGTTTCTTCAATTGACCCAGTATTCATGCCCTTTATTGTTATGTCTACTCCAGGAACCCAATCCCACAGCCACACCTGTAGTCTGGAATCACCTAGAACTGCTCTTCCTCTTCAATCTTAGCTTGGTCTCTGATCACAGCCTCCTAGCCTTTCAGATTTCTCAGTCTTTGATTTGATTTATACGGACTTTTCAAACCTAGATATTTTTCTAAACCCCTTTCTCTTCCTTTTCTCCTTGCATATCAGCCCCCTTCTTGCTTCAGTTCCTTCTTTGTCCAGTTGGGATTCTTCAGTGCAACAATCAACCCTTCCTCTTGCACACCTCTACATGTATCCCCAACAGCGGGTCTCTCTAGCTATATCCTAGAGGAGGATATAGCCAACACTGGGACCTTAGAGCACTACTGGAGTAATTCCAAGTGATAAATAGATTCTGCTGTAAGTGTATGGTATCAACCAGGCCCTCAACACTGCGGGGCGGTTTTGCTGTATTCCTCTTAGCAGCTCTCTCTCAACTTCACTCTCTTTAAGCATCATATCTCACTCCCCTCACTCTTCACAAGTAGTCATGCTTGCTACTCAGTAGAGGCCAAAAGGTGAAAACCTACTTGAGTTTTTGCCTGCTGTGTCCAGACTTTTCTGTATTTGTACCATCCAGTTTCTGAGGACTAAATGATTCTTCACCGTCCAAGTCAAACCTGTCCATCCATTCCTCATGTTTCACTTCCCCCATCTTCTCTAACATTACTTCTCAATTACTCCCTTCCTCCTCTGTCTTACACCTCTACCCCTACACTTGTTTCTCCCTTAGTATATAATATGCTGTACCATTGTTTGCAGTATTTACAAATCAAGTCTTTGAGCGTCTTGTTCCTGTTTGCTCAACTTCCTTTCTCACTGCCCAGCAGTGATTGATCTGTTGGCCCATCTTTCTCGTGGCCTGGTCACATGTTAAGACCCTTTCCCACTTGAAGACGAGTTCTAGAAACCTGTGCTTCTGTCTT